CTTATATGTGATTTAAGTTGAGCCTGTGAAATTTGGTAAGAAACGGAGGTCATATGACGTGATTCAGAACCTTAGTTGTAAAATTTGAAACTTTGAAAGTTCTTGAGATTTTCTTTAATTTTGATACTAAATTCATAGTTGTTGATGTTATTTTGATGATTTGATTGTACGAGCAAGTCCGTATGATATTTTTAGGCTAGTGTGCATGTTTGGTTTGGAGCTCCGAGGGATCGGGTGAGTTTTGGATAGACCACGGAGTGAAATTTGGACTTAGAAAATTGCTGGTATGTTGCAGGTCTGCAGGCTTCGAAAATGCGAAGCCTGGCTCGCAAATGCGAAGATGACCTGAGCTGCCTTAGGTCGCAAATGCGAAAGGTCCCTCGCAAATGCGAAGTGGACCGGATTCCTTCAGTGTCACAAATGGGACAAAATCTTCGCATTTGCGATGTTAGCAGGTTTTGAAGGGTTCGCAATTGCGAACCCTGGTCGCAATTGCGATATCTACGACCTGCAAATTCATAACTTAGCCGAAAATCTTTCATTTTTCAAACCTTTTCAAAACCTAAACACCCTTGGGCGATTTTTCGAAGACAAGTACTCTTCCAAATCGATTTTAAGTCACTTCTAACTCGTTTTCATTAATTTTTAACATCTTTTCAAATGATTTCAACTCAAATCAAGGGTTTTCATGGGGGAAATTGGGTGTTTTGGGTAGAACCTAGATTTTTCAAATTTGGGAGATTTGGACCTCAATTTGAAGTTTGATTTCAAAACAAATTATATATTTGGGTTCGTGGGTGACTGGGTAATCGGGTTTTGATTCGAACCTCGGGTTTTGACCACGTGGGCCCGGGGTCGATTTTTGACTTTTTGGGAAAAACTTTAGAAAACCTATTTTCATGCATTAGAATTGATTCATTTAACATTTATTGATATTGTTAAGTAACTTGTGGCTAGATACAAGCGAATTGGTGGTGGAATCAAGTGGTAAAGCGGTGGTTGAGGCTTAAATTGTGTTCGTGACATCGAGGTAAGTGTTTGGTCTAACCTTAGCTTGAGGGATTAGGAGTTATGTCCTATTTGCTATGTGTTGGTTGTTGAGTACGACGTATAGGCATGGTGACGAGTATCTATACATTGGTGTCAAGCATGCCCATGAGTCTTATACTATGATTAATGTGACTTCGTTTGTATTGCTCATGTCTTATGTGATGATTTCTATTGTTGAACAAGGCATGTGGAAGTAATATTGGTATTTGAACATTGAAGAGCATTGGCTCAAGTTGTAAAATGATTTGTGAAAGTATAATTGGCAATTGAACCTTTTAGAGCATTGGCTCAAATTGTGAATTGAGTTGTGAAGTAAATGTGAAAAAGAAAAAAGGATTATGATATTGTCTCCCTTTCCAGGATATTGTTGTTTAATGTTGTCTCCCTTGCCGGAATGTTATTGTTTGATATTTTTTCCCTTTCCAGAATATGATTATTGTACTATTGTTCCCTTGCCGGGAATTAATTGTGAATTTGTTGATTCCCTTGCCCTTATTGCTTGTGATTGTTGTTTGGGTGATGAAGAGTGTTAAAGCACGAAGGGTGATGCCGTGCATTATTTTGGCAAGAGAGTGTTAAAGCGCGAAGGGTGATACCGTGTATGATATTTGTGAGAGAGTGTTAATGCACGAAGGGTGATGTCGTGCCGCATGATGTACCATTCCGTGCCTTTATATGAGTGATAATGCACGAAGGATCATTCCGTGTCATAATTATGTGAGGTAAAAGCACGAAGGGTGATGCAATGTCATTTATATTGATTTTATGGTGAGGACGAGAGTAAAAGCATGAAAGGTGATGCTGTGCACTTGTCTTTGATTTCCTGACTTTTATTGATAATTGGGTTATGGTGTTCTTTACATTTAACTGTTGTTTTCAATTGTTACTGGTTATTTCCTCGCAGTATGATTTCCCCTTCCTATCTTTAATTGTAAGGTTTTGCTTTTATTTTCCGCTGTATATGATTTAACTACACATGTTTATTTGGTAGTCTGGTCCTAGCCTCGTCACTACTTTGCCGAGGTTAGGCTAGGCACTTACAGCACATGGGATCGGTTGTGCTGATACTACACTCTGCACTGTTTGCAGATCCAAGTACTGGAGCATACTGATCGTAGCTTTGGGTTGCTGCCTTCAGTCCATTTAGAGATCCGAGGTAGTCCTGCAGGCATCTGTAGGCCTTGGCGTCTCCTTCTATCCTTTCATTCTATTTCTTTTATGTATTTTAGAGACAGTGTTGTAATAAATCTTTCGGACCTTATTTGTAGAACTCCTAGATAGTCTGTGAAATTGTGACACCAATCTTGGGTAGTTTATGTATGGATTGGTACTGGCATCTTTATTAAAATATTACATTGCAGTCTTCCGCTTATTAAATCTCGATGTTTATATAACGTTGGTTTTTAATTATTAAAGGATTAAAATTGGGAAAAAGGTAAATAATTCAAACGGTTGGCTTGTCTAGCTTTCACTAGTAGGCGCCATCACGACCCCCGAGGGTGGAAAATCCGGGTCGTGATAGACCCCAAACGGCCAAAGACCTAAGATGTTGGGGATTCTCAAAGGCTCAATATTTTAGCAAACCCATTCTAATTTTAGTCAAATTTGATTTCTACCTCCGCAAAATATTCCTCCTCTACAAATTGTGGTTCCGAAGAAAGCTATGTATGGAGAGTATGAGAGATTTAGAAAGAAAAGATTTTGGCGGTAATAATTTTTGACTTCCCTCTTCCTAATTCTAAAATTACATTTTCCTTTATTAGTCAGAATTCTCAGACAACCTAATTTTGCATTACGCTTTGGCAATTTAATTGGAGATTTAAGAAAACGGGGAAAGAGAGGCAAGCTATTGGAAGAACATTGATATAGGGTTCAACTCTTGGTAAGGCTTTTGCAGGTTTGTATCTGTCTTCTATTTAATTTAATACTATGAAAATCTTATTCTTTGTACTGTGATAGTTAAAAGAAAATATTTTTGTGTTTTGAAGTGCTTACTAGATTTTCTACTTTTCTAGTTATTTAGGCTCTTTTAAGTTTATTTGCGGAGTATATTTGAAGTTTTAAGTTTATTTGCAGAGTATATTTGAAGCTCTTTTAAGTATATTGCAGACTCTTTACACTGTCGTAAATATTATCTGAAGTTCTAAAGTGTATCTACAGATGGTGTAAAACATATTCACACTAGATTAAGCTCAAGGAGAATTACTGAACTTGATTCTTTGTTGCTATATGTGTAGGCTATATTCTTAATGGATAAGAGTTGGATAAACATATTGAATAGGAACGATTCTTTATATGAGATCGGAGTCAAAGAGTTTATTAAGTTTGCGTCATTGGATAGGCCTAATGCATCTGAAATCTTGTGTCCATGTCGAAAGTGTTGTAATATGAAAATTTATCTCAAAAGATTTGATTGTCGAACATATAGTAGTTGATGGGTTTCTAACTAGTTACACTACTTGGATTTTTCATGGTGAGATATCATATTCATCAATGTCTACTAATCAATCGGATAAAGGTTATGAAATACACGCCTTAGTACATGATGCTTTTGGAGTTCCTCCTACTAGTGACTTTGTTGATATGGACACTAGTGGTGATGGATTTGGTGGGTCAAATCAACATAGGAAAGGGTTTGATAAGAAGACTGAAATATTTTTTAACTTACTAAAAGAAGCTGAGTGTGAATTATACCCTGGAAGCAAATATTCACTAATTTTTTTTCTTGTTCATCTATTGCATCTAAAATGTCTCAATGGGTGGAGTAACAATTCATTTTCCATGTTGCTTGAGTTGCTAAAAGATGTGTTTCCTGAAGATGAAGTATTACCCAAGTCCTTTAATGATGCCAAGAAAATTATAAAAGATTTAGGACTTAGAATATACAAAAATACATGCATGTCCAAATGATTGTATGACCTACTGGAAATGAGATAAAAGATAGAATGGATTGTAAGTTTTACAAAACTCCAAGGTATAAACAGTTTAAAGGTGAATCAAGTAGTAGTATGGAAACCTCAAAAATTCCAGCAAAGATATTTAGATACTTTCCATTGATATTAAGGCTTCAAAGGTTATTCATGTCATCTAAAACATCTACTCAAATGAGATGGCACGCTGAAGGTCGCACACGAGATAGAGTAATGCGGCACCCTGCTGATAGTATTACTTGAAATTTTTTTGATAAATTGCATCCAAGTTTTTCTCAAGATCCTAGGAATGTTAGACTTGGCCCGACTTCAGATGGCTTTAATCCTTTCAAGTCAATGTCTATCTCACATAACACATGCCAGTTGTCTTGGTTCTATATAACTTGCCACCATGGTTATGCATGAAGCAACCATATATGATATTGTCAATAATTATTGATGGTCCTCCTGCACCTGGCAATGATATTGATGTCTATCTTCGACCCTTAATTGATGAGTTAAAAGAATTGTGGGTTGGTGTTGACACTTATGATGTATCAAACAACCATATGTTTCAAATGTGTGCTTCATTGCTTTGGACAATCAGTGATTTTCCAGCACTAGGTAACTTATCAGGATATGGTGTAAAAACTAGATATGCTTGTCCATGTTGTCCGATGAAAACTAAATTTTTGAGATTGAGAAATGGGTGAAGATATTGACTCACAAACTATGGGTTAGGGAAGGAGTGCCAGGAACAGAAATTGGCCCACAAACTATGGAAAGTACTGACGCATTTGACGAAGATTACGATATATCTTAGTTCTTAATATTATCATAGTATTATTACTATTTTAGTACAGATGGTTATTGAACAGAGAACAAATTAATATTTCTTATTATGCAATTCAGTCATTTAAATCTCTTGTGCTTACATGTCTTATTGTTTGACTTGGTAGTTAGATATTATTTTATGCTTTTGGATAGTACAAATTAATTTTCAATCTGATAGGAATCTAATTTTTGAGCAACTTCAGTGAGATGGCAAGAAAAAAGCAAAGAAACTCTAGTCAAGGTGGGCTTTTATCCAGTTCTTCAGAGCAACAAGAACAACAAATGGACAACACATCGATGCCTGAACCACCTCAAAACTGGCCACAAAATGAAAGACAAGCTATCCGATCTGGTAACTTGTCAATAAATGATTCACATGATATAGAAAATTTCTCAGGTACTAAAGTTATACCTTATCTTCATTTGATGTTATTTGAAAACTGCTGCAGAGAAGAATATTCGATGTTATTTGAAAACTTTTCCATAAGCAGCACATAATATTTTTGCTGTATTAGTAATGCCATGCATTATTGTTTGCAAGATTTTAGTGACTACATAAAGCAATGGACATCTATTGCCCCTGATAAAACACAAGCAGAAGTAGAGAAAGCAGAAGTTAATGTTCAATAAATACAGCCTGCCTCAGAGGTTCAAAACCAAAATACTAAATCACCTTTTATCCTCAAAGACTACAAACCTAACCCTTCTTTCCTCCCCCTTTGTCATTTGGTTTGCATTTCTTTGAACTAAATTTAATACACTACACATAAAACACAACATACAAAAACGATGGGTTATACCATCTCAAATTATTAATCTGACTCCAAATTTATCATGCCATAATCCAAAATTGCTGATTTTTACTAGTATGAATGCACCTCCCTTTTATCTTTGATTATTTATAGGTTCCAATGAGAGTGAAGAACAATCTAAGCGACTAAGGGGCCCCACTATGATGCACTCAGGATGGAAAAATGATGGTGGCAGTTTACATGTTGAGTTGAATGAATATGGCCAACCAATTGGACCAGAAACATCTAGATTGAGTTCTAAACTTGGTGTCATAGCACGAAATGGTATCCTAGCACCATTGAATTATAAAGATTGGAGGCTTGTGCCAAAGATGTTCAAGGACATAATATGGGCTCATATTAAGGTGCTTAGTACTAAATCAAAAATTACATACTAAAAGATTTTTATTTTTATATTATTCTATATAAATAAGTTATGCTAAATATGTCTGTAGGAAAATACTGATACAACTGATGATATGAGACGCATGTTGATGATACCGGTTGGATCTAAATGGAAAGAATGGAAGCATGAAGCTAAAAGTTGTGGTTATGAATCGTATGGTACTAATATTGAGCGCTTTGCTCATCGTCCAAATAGGATGGAAGAAGATCGGTGGCGTTCATTAGTTCATTATTGGAGCTCAAATGTTGTAAAGGTGTTCCAGAATATCAAGCATTTTCTTCTGTTGCACCTTAGGCCTATAGCATTCTTGTCACTAGATCTCTGTTTTTTTTAAACTTATCTTTTTATTGTTTATTAATTTTTTGCGGTGAATTGTGTCTATTCTCTAATATAATATTGTATTTAACTTTTTTAGGAAAAGAGCAAGAAGAACAAAGAAAGCCGAAAGAAGTTGACTATGTCACACACATCAGGAAGAAAAAGTCATTCTCAAATTATAGATAATGTATGACATAATCGTTATCTACTATCTTCAGCTTATATACTAGTTTTTATTTTCTTGAATACTTTACTACAATTTTTTACTATTAAATACAGATGACAAAGAAGAATGGCATAAAACCAACTCGTATTGAGGTATTTAAAGAAACACATTCAAGAAAGAATGATCAACCAGTAAATGAGATAGCTGGTGAAGTTATGGTAAATTCTCATTCTTTATAAATAAAAAGATATTGTCATTTGCTTACAAAATTTTGTTAACTTATTTTTGCTTTCCGTTCTTTCAAAAAGAAACAAATAGATGAACCTGCTGAGGTATATCCTGAGTTAAATGTCCCTGGAAGTGCTCCTAATGATGTGTATGCACAAATTATGGGACCAAACACTCATGGGATTGTTCGAACTCTAGGAAAAGGAGCAGCCCCAAGTTTTGTTTATGCCCCAGTATAAAAACGATCCAAAGCTGAGCAAAGAGATTTTGATGCAAGGGTTGAGATAGAAGTTCAAAAAGCTACCACAGCTATCCAAGCTGATATGGAGAAAAAATTGGCAGAAGCAAAAGAAGATATGAAAGCAACAATAGATGATAAAGTAAAGGCAGGGGTCCGAGCATATCTAGAGAGTATGGGTATTACAATTGGCTCAATAGTAAATCAATCAGTAATGAGCAGGTAAATAACTATATGCTCATTCACAAACTTTGTTCACTTAAAGTTAGTATTGCTATATATTTCTCTTTTAATTATAATAACCTCCCTCTTTGTGATAGGTTTTTGATAACTCACTTGAAGATCGCCAACAATCATTATCACCAGTTTCAATTGTTCACAAAAATAAATTGAGTTTTAGATCAAAGTTGCGAGTTAATTGTCCAGGTGTTATGATCTCGTTTTTTGAGAAAAATATGTGGGAGTGTCTTGATCAAAGTGATGAAAATAGGAGCTAGAAAGTCTGTTGGCAGAGCATATGGTGGTGACCTTATATTTTTTCAGATATAAGTAGGATAATTTTTGGTCTAGCTTACAAATATGAGAGTTATAAGTAGGATAATTTTTGGTCTAGCTTACAAATATGAGAGTTATAAGTAGGATAATTTTGGATGGCTTATTTCTTTATGAATTTTGCCTCTTCTCCTATGGTATGGCTTGGTGAAAATTCTGTCACTATATGGTTGAAGTTGCTTAATCATAGCTACTTTATTTTAATTGATATTCACTTGTCAGTTAGTATTTTAGAATTGATGGGTCTATGCTGGATGATATCTTTGTGATTTGTGAATAGTAGAGCTTACAATTTTAAAGAACTTTTACAATGCTGTTAGAGAAGGAAGTTTAGTATAAAAGTGCTATCATATGTTTCCAGTGTTGTCTCTAGACTTTTGCTTGTAATTCAAAGTTCTTATGTTATTTTTGTAGAAGTTGCTGCATTTTAGGGATACATAAGCTTTGTCTTGTTTATTGTATCTTGTACTCTACACTCAATTTTCAATTCTATAAACTATCAAAGTAACCTTTCTAATATTTTTTTCTCATGTTGAAAAAATTAAGAAGACTGAAACTAATAAACTTGGGACCCAAAAAAAGAAGTGGGTAAGTTTGGAAAATATGCAAGCCACTTCAATTTTTTCAGTTTTTTTTACATAGTTGTAATTCTATTTTATGTGATTCTTTTGCAGAGCTTCTGAAGAAAATAAGATCAATTATTGGAAAGGAATGCTTGACTAGTGGAAAGATGGATCCATAATGTAACGACTCGACTGGTTGTTTTGAGCTCTAGCGCGTCGTTTAGCAGTCTGAGGCCATGAGCAACTTCATTTCAGGTATTATGACTTGTACGCATGGTCGGAATTGAATTTCGGGAAGTCCGGAGTTGATTTGGAGAGAGAAGTCTCATTTCGGAAGCTTTAAGTTGGAAGAATTAACTAAGATTGGATTTCAGAGTAAACGACCTCGAAATCGGGATCTAAAGGTTCCAACAGGTTCGTATGATGATTTCGGACTTGGGCGTATGCCCGGATCGGGTTTTGGATGACCCGGGAGCGTTTTGGTGCAAATTGTGGAAGTTAGTAATTTGGAAGAAATTTCATAAGTTTGGCTTGAAGTGCATTTCAGCGTTATTAATGTCCGTTTGGGATTCAGAGTCTGGGAGTAGCTCCGTATAGTGATTCTAGAGTTGGGGGCGCGATCGGAAATGAATTTGGAGGTCCGTAGGTCATTTTGAAGTCATTTTGCTAAAGATAGAAATTTGAAGGTTTTTGGGAAGTTTGACCGGAAGTGGACCTTTTGATGAGGTCGGAATCCGATTCCGGAAGTTGGAGTAGGTCCGTAATGCCAAATGTGACTTGTATGCAAAATTTGGGGTCAATCAGACGTGATTTGATAGGTTTAAACATCGAGAGTAGAAGTTTGAAATTCTAAAGTTCATAAAGCTTGGATTAGAGGTCGATTCGTGGTTTTAGCGTTGTTTGGTATGATTTGAGGCCTCGAGCGAGCCCGTAATGTGTTTTGGGACTAGTCGGTATGATTGGTTGGGGTCCGGGGGGCCTCGGGTGAATTCCGGGTGGTTAACGAATCAAAAATAAAAATTTTGGAAGGCTGAAGTTGCTGGTTGCTGTCATAACCGCATCTGCGAGAAATGGGCCGCAGGTGCGGAGCCGCAGAAGCGGCCAGAAGAGGCGCATATGCGATATTGGTGGAGGAGAGTTGGGACCGTAGATGCAGTCATTTTGCCGCAGATGCGGGACTGCACCTGCGGTGAAGAAGACGCAGAAGCGGAAAAGGGTAGCCTGGTGAGGGACCGCATAAGCGGTATTCGAACCGCACCTGCAGAACTGCAGAAGCGGTCAAGAGACCGCAGGTGCGGAAAGTACTGAAGGCAATAGGTTGTTTTAAAGTTGGGTTTTGGCCATTTCCTCTCATATTTTCTTGGCTTGGGCGATTTTTGGAGGGTTTCAAGAGAGGATTGTCATCATCAATGATAAAGTAAGATATTCCCTACCTATCTTGAGTTAAATATATGATTATATACGGATTTGGGCATGGAAGTTTGTAGAAAACTTAGGGTTTGAGGGAAAACCTAGAAAATTGATATTCTTGGAATTTGACCACGATTTTGGGTATGGAATTAAGAGAAAATCATATATTTAAGTTCGTGAGTTCATGGGTAAACTTTATTTTCGAGAAATTTCGGAATCCGGGCACGTGGGCCAGAGGGCATTTTTGTTAACTTTTTGATCGGGGTTGGAATTGTTATAAATTGGATTATAATGAGTACCTTAGCATATATTAATGAGTTTACATAATTGTTTGCTAGTTTTGGTGCATTGGAGCATCGGTTTGGGTCGTCGGAAGGGCTTGGAAGCCGGTTTGGAGCTTCGGAGCGAGGTGAGTCTCCTTTCTAACCTTGTAAGAGGGAATTGTCCCCATAAGTGAAATAATTGGTTATGTGCTCCTATTTGTGGGGGGATACGTACGCACGAGGTGACGAGAGTCCGTGTACTATTATGCTATTGTCCGGGTAGTCTAGGACACAAAAACATGCTATACTTGGAATATTTGTAACCTTATTGACAGTTGATTGCTTAAATCCCATCGAATTGGTAAATGGATTTCTAAAAAGAATTAAACTTCATTTTTTTCTAAATTGTTAAAAGAGAATTGGTTTCCTTTGGGTAATTGTTTCCTAATGACTTCTTGATTGATTGTCTGTGCGTGTTTAAATTCTGGAACGGGCCGAACACCTAGGCAGATTAAATAGATGTATCTATGGTTCGTGTCGTTCGACCCTCGGCAGTGCACAGTTTAAATATTGTTGGATTGGGTCGTACGACCTCGGCAGAATTGCGCATGCTTGTATTGCTTGCCTTGAGATTTGGTGATATTGATATTTGCCTTCCCTGGCTTGAGATAATTGAAAATGAATAGATTATGAATCAGGAGATTTTTAGTATAAAAAGGAAACTTTTACTTGTTCGTGACTTATCTGAAATTTCTGTCATTCTTAATAAATCCATGATTACTCGCATCAATAATATATTATCATTGGACCTCTAGTAAGTATCGAAGTCGACCTCTCGTCTCTACTTCTTCGAGATTAGACGAGATACTCATTGGGTACACGTTGTTTTCGTACTCATACTACACTTGCTGTGTATTTTTATTGCACAGGCACATGCATCTCTAGTAGCCTAGTGGGCGTAGCAGCATGGCTGATACGGAGACTTAGGTGAGCTGCACTTCTCGAGCCGACCCGCAGCCAGCAGAGTCTCTTTCAAATTACTGTACTTACTTTCTGTCCAATTTGTATTTCAGACATCTGTTGTATTATATTATTTCCTAGAGATAGCTCATGCACTTGTGACACCGGGTTCTGGGATGGTTTTTGGATTATTCAATATTAAGTTTGTTAAAGACTTCATGGTTATTTCGGTAAATTTCATTATTTATTATTTGATGTATAAAGAAAATAATTTCAACAAATGCTAAAAATTGGAACTTAATTGAGTATTTATGGTTGGTTTGCCTGACAGCGGTGTCCGGCGCCATCATGACCCTTAGTGGATTTTGGGTCCTGACAACATGGTATCAGAACACTAGGTTCCCTTAGGTCTCACGAGTCATGAATGAGTCTAGTAGAGTCTCGTGGATCGATACGAAGACGTCTATACTTATCTTTGGGAGGCTACGGGGCTGTTAGGAGTACTTCCCTTCTTGATTCTTCATCATGCGATTTGATTCCTTTGAGGCTTATGCCTTTGTTTCTTTCCTACTCAATCTTATGCGGTGCAAAACGCTTGTTATAAATCGAGAATTGAAGAATCGTAACGGTACTACTGAGGTGGTGCGGGATGTTTCTCCCGGTATAGTTGATTGGATTATTATCATCACCTTGTGAAGGGATATTCTATTGTTTCAGCCCAGTAGCGGTACTTCTGAGGGCTCTGAGGCTAGGCACAAGTTACCATGATGCTTATGACCGATTGTTCCGCAGTATTGATATGATGGTAGGATGTTTGCCTACTTGTCGGGGCAATAAATGACTTGAAGAGAGGTTTACTCAGTGCATGATCTAGAGATTTGGTATTTTATTCCTGGCAGGGGAAAGGAGATCGGGCTAAGAATGTTCAGATTTGGGTTGATGGGGTAACAAGACTTGGTAATTGCGAGCGTGGCGGAGTTTTCTTCTATGATGAGGTGTCGTTGTCCTTATTGAATGTACTAAGTTCGCCTGTGTTATGAACTTCTACAATTCGCCTCTGGAGCAGGATATTGTGGGTCAGTATTCAAGAAATGACTGTTAGATATCGCGGGGTGCGGTGGTGTAGGACTGGATCGGTGTTCCTAATGTTGACGGCTCGAGAAAGATGATCTTCGGAAAGGTTTAAGGTTAGTAGTGATTCATGGGTTCAAGTGCTACAAGATTGATTTATTTAAGGCAACAACTGAGCAGCA